GACGAGGAAGATGTGCGTATCTATATAGTGACAATGGCACCAACTTTATAAGAGCCTACATGATGAAATTTACAATACAATAGTCAAAGATCCAAGATACTTTAGTTGCAGGTGAAACCCAATGGCACTTCATTCCCCCAGCTTCTCCTCACTTTGGAGGATTATGGGAAGTTGGCGTCAAATCTACGAAGTACCATTTAAAACGAATAATTGGCGATACACCACTTACTTATGAAGAAATGACTATATTAACTCACCAAATAGAAGCTTGCCTTAACTTTCGACCTCTGTGCCCATTATCAGATGATCCAGACGATTTAGCAATAAATTTGAAGAGAAATTATATCTTTTCCCGATCCAATAATTACAAACATAAACTCGGACGTTGTTGGAAGATGGAAACTAGTGCAGAAAATTAAGAAAGAATTCTGGGAGAGCTGAAAACTCCAACAACTTCAGCAGCGTTACAAGTGGAAGAATCACCAGGATTCAATCAAAATTGGAGATTTAGTTCTAGTAAAGGATCAGAATATCAACCCAAGCAAATGGCCAATAGCAAAAATCACTGAAGTGAATCCAGGTAAAGACACAACTGTTAAAGTGGTCACTATAAAGAGAGCAGAAGGAGGCCCGATCAAGAAATCTACGTATCATTTAATTCCAATATTGTCAAGTGCCGAGACAGTCCACAACAATAACAAACGAAGCCCAACACAGCACTGGAAAAAGCGGACTACAAACTGTGGTAGCCAAACGTGAAAAAAGAGGAGTTTTGAAAAAACTATTAACCGCAGGGTTCGGAGTAAACGATGAGATCTACATGAATATTGACGAATTAGACAAAAACCGGAAGGAGCTTATCAAGGCATCCAACCATCAAACCAAATTCATGCTACATGCTCTATCTAGTTTTAATGACACCGAATCCAGAATCAACAATCAGCTCCAGAGATTCCGGGAAAAAATCAATGAAGGCATTGATTCGATAAATGAAATGAAAATATGGTATCGAACGGTGGATGCAAATAAACTAACATTTTACGTTCTCAGTACATATTAAGTTGTCTCCAATTGCATAAATGAATTTCTGCACTATTTAAGGACGATTCTTAGATGTTCACTACCATAAAGACCACCTATATGATCTAATATCTCCGACCCACGTTGAAGAGATAATAGCATCTGCATAAAAAAAGACTCCGTCCCATATCGAGATAATATCTTATCCTGTGCTCCAGACCAAAGTGGAACACAGTGAAGAATTTATCCACGTCTATCGATATTTTGTGATGATAGAACACAATGAATTTATGCTAATCAGATCGACTCCAATACCATTTAAAACAGAAAAAGAGTCATAATGGATCCTGGATATTCCAAACGAAGTATTAGCAATATATCAAAGAGAATAAAATACGGTATCCGCCAAAATAAACATTACTGAAATCTAGAGCTCTGAGTAATTGCGCACGCAAGTTGCATTTATAATATTTCGCTTACTTGGCATTAGTTATGAGGTTGACATTAAGTTAAGGTTAAAATCTTCGTCATTAGGTATCTTTCAACTGAAGAAACAGTTTTCTTAGTAGAGCATATACGCATGATACAAATGAATAAATGATATAATTTATATGTTCAGTACTGTTTATTTTGGCGGATACTGTACTTCGTGCAAAATCCTATAGTAATCCATAGCATCAATAATATGGAAGCAGCTACACACTTCAAACTCATGGTTAGCAATTACGCCTGAAAAAACAAAAATTGCCATTATTTGCGATGGAACCCGGGACTGAGAAGAACATTCTAACTCCTAAAAGGTCAGATACTGTCACTGTCTTAAAAGCATTCTCCAAACCCGTACTGCAAAATATATCATTATGCATGAAAGGGAAATCACGCTAATTGACGAACCTGTAATTGATGCATCCAACAAGTTCAATGAATTCAGGAATGAAGAAATGAACATCAAACAACAACTTGAAACTACGCATAGGGTAACAGTAAAAAAGCACCTCCTAGTCACGAGCCTCAGTGCTACATTAGTAACTATCGTTGTTGCTATCACACTTATAATGCTATTCATCAGGTTCTACAAACCCAATAAACATTTTTGTTTTTATAATATTTACCGTAAATGTTATATCACCTTCTTTATATAACTTAAGGTTTTATATCCATTTACCGAAATATTTCTGTTACTCCTATAGACCCTCTAAAGAGCTTAAATTGAGCGTTTATAAAGGTTTCGAAAACCTGTGTTTAGTAACGGTATATAACTTTAATTTATGTAACCATTGGTAACGGAAATATTGTGGTAACCACTATATAACTTTTGTCAATTCTGTCATCATTATAAATACATATTTTTTCTCTCTCAAATACATTGCTTTAAATGGTCTCCTACTATTCTATTCCCACAATTCTATTTCAAGATGTCTGTTACTAAAAAAAAACAAATATGGAGTCCAAATATTAATAATATTTACCTATTAGAAAACGATGGTACTTTGTTGTAATTTTACAGCATTGTTAGACTCAAAATATAGTTGGGAAACTTTTTCTACTGCAAAAGTAGAACCGGTACTTCGAAAAAACGCAGGGGCCCTTCAAATATTCACTTTTTATTAATTTCAAATCAGTTTTCTCACAAAATATACACATATAAATATTAATTAAAATGAGATTTAAGAAGAAATTAATGTCATTTCCGTTTTGCATATGCCAGTATTAAACAATTATTGTATATTTTGCATCAAAATCAGCTTAACCTAGTGTTTTTGAAACGCATCTTTTTTATTATTATGATTTTGGTTAGAAAAATATGGCGGATCACTTTAGTAACAATATAAACTCTGGAAACTATAATATCACCTAAGGTTATATTTTATAACTATTAGTAACATTATGTACTTAACTTTTAACCAGATGCCGTCAGCGCCGGTATTGGCAATTTTGGTCTCAAAATAGTGTTATTGCTATAATCATCATGTTTATCCGTTCCCTCAAGTAATTTATTTTCTTGTCTACGAAATTGTGTTTAGTGTCCTCGTGGAAGATACTGAGGGCACTGAATTTGAGATTTTATTAAATTTTTTTGAAATTTTCCGGCGAAATGATGTACTGAACTTCATTTTTTTCAAAATCATTATGCACAGATTTCTTATAACAATAATAAACAACAACAGACACCTGATTATTGTCATATGTCAAATTAGGTAGTTTCGTTTTACTAAAGGTTTTATAAAAGAAATTATCGTTACCAAAAGTTTTATAACATATACTGCAAACACTACTAGTTTCCAGGTTCTATAAAGGTGATTGACAACACTTTTATATAACTAGGGGTATTCTAATTATATAAATGAGGTAACGGTAACCTTTATAAAAATTTCTTATAAATACTTTAGTAACGGGTACTAAAAGTTTTATAAAATGGTGATGGAAATAGTTACATCACCTTATTATATACCTGTAAGTTATAGTAAACTTATAAATACTTTATAAAACTATGTTACCATAGGTTGCAGATTATAAAACTTGGAAACCTTCTTATATACCTTTGTTACTATTATATACCCATTATATAACTTGACGTTACTATAAGTTGCGAAAAATGTTTATTGGGAAGGACGACAGAATAACAGCTGCAATACAAGAAGAAACAGAGATACGGCAGCCATTCTATTAAATACAATTAGAGCTGCCCAGCCAACCACCGAAGCTATTGTGACTACTGAGCACTGATGGCATGGCAATAGAATGCCTAGAATGTCTAAATTCAAAATTTAGTCATAGTCATATCTATCAAAATCATTACAAATATTAATTAATTATTGGCGTCCAGGTACTCCTAAGTCATCGACACCACGAACCGCCAGTGGGTCACCAGGAAACATAGGCAATACTACGATTTATAGCAGACGCAGCGTCATCAAAAGTTTAATTACCAAATGCTTCATTGTGGAGCATACAACAGAATTTTGTCAGCGATTTATTCTTCAAATTAATTACCATTGTTCATGACGTTTGTCAAAGTTGCCTTTTTTGTCTATAAATAGTTGTTAATTGATTTAAAAAAATCAGTATTAATCCAACAGTGGTTCTTACTCCCCAGTTCCCAAACTGCCCGGGTGTACTAACCCAACCTACAAGCCACAATCAACGAACTACTAAGTGTTCCGAGGATCCGCCTAAATTCCAAGACAGGAATATACACTCTCATTGAACTTTTTTTTATTGACCACAGGTTAAAATTTTCCATTGACTGCTACAATATGGCATTTCCTAATAAATTTGCCTTCTGATATCATCATGAGATGGAGCCTACATCGAAGTCAACTTGTTCATCAAGAATCATTTGATATTTTGTTTCTTTTAGATATGTATTAGGTTTTAATATTTAGATGCTTTGTACATACAAACATTTTTCTAAAGAATAAAGCTTTTTTTGATACGATTTGAATCGACAATCTTTAGGGATACGACTGGCACGTGAACATTTTCTAATTCAATTCGTCCGTTCATGATAATTTATTCCTGTAAAATCTAAATATCATGACATGACAATAAAAACAAAACTGGCAGTTCTTTGATTAATATTTCTCGAATATAAAAAAAGATTTTATCGCAGTCCGAAATGCCTACGTTAATTAAACGTTTCTTGTTTATTTTTTATTGGTATCGGTCAAAAGGGTTGGACGACCGCAATATACGTCAAAGTAAAGGGCGGCAGAGACATTTACCTACATCGGGCGAATTTAATTAAAAAAAAAAAAACAAGAACGCCGAAAGCGAATTTTCCGGTAGCATTTTTTTAAATTTTGTTTTGGGATATGGCCGCCACAAAAAGTGAAACGAATTGAAAAGTGGGTCCCCGGCGTGTTCGTAATTGATTACTTTCTACTGCTGCTAACCGGAGTTTTCGAAAAAAAAAAACTCTGGTCTGCCCATAATTAATTTCAGTGCGTTGAAAAATATTAAACTTTAAATTCACCTACTTTTGATCATCAATGGGTACATCAGATGCAGCATCGAACGGAGCAACGTCACTGGAAACATCAACGTTACCCTCCAAAACTGTGGAAAGTTGCGGAGAAGCTTCGTCCCACATTCCATCCAAATTCAATTCCTGCACTATCGGCCCCTGCCTTTGATCTAAAACAGAATAAAATAAGGTTTAACCGGGTCCTTGTCACGCATTAAAGATAAGCTCGCCCGTATTCGAAAATTAATGTCGGAGGTTTCGTTGTTGTTGTTGTTCGCCCCCCTAAAATCCATTATAGAAAGGGCGATTGTTTGCGCCAACTTTCCTGGCAGGCGGCAATTAAAACCCAAACCAAAAATGTGTCTGAAAGAGCAATTCATTGAATCGCCACCTGACAGCGCATTTTCATCATCTTTATTAATTTATTTACTTGCGGCGGCCGAATTTAAATTCCTTTACGAACCGGAACGGTGCGCCACCACCCGCGTCGAATAAGGGAGGAATTAAAGTCTCCCGGTAATTTGAATAACAAAAGAGACTCGGCCACCCCCCCACGCCTTAAAAAGGCGAAATGTATAATGGCTTTTACTTTGACCATTAACCACGACTTTACCATGTTTTGCAGCCGGTTGGAACGCAAATGAACAGATTAGAAGAAGAGGGGGTTTTTATCTGGTTTAATTGGAGTTTTATTTTTTGCCAATTGAAGATCCCTAATTCATTCTAAGACAATAATTATACTGAAGAGATTAAATCAAGGTTTTACATGTTCTTTGTTCTGTTATATGGGATGGAGTCATACACATTACAGAAAAATATTACTTAGATTGAAGGTTTTCGGAAATATGGGCAAGGGAAAATGACGAAGAATGGTAAAACAACAAGAAGTCATACTCTGACAGAATTTTAATCCATGGCAGATGGCCATCCGATTACTGTTTATGACAGAGAGTGGCTCTTGAGGTCGCCATTATCCCGTAAATCCTGCAAATTAGTCGTTGACATTGTGAACACCGTTGAAACCTCAAGTCTAAAATCGGCTGCAATTTGGATGGTTGATTAAATACTTGTCTGTTTATACTTAAGAAATAAGACCGTGTCGAGAATGCATAACATATAACCCAAACACACAATACAAATACCGTCCTTGTGGGACGCATGTTGCTTTACAAGCAAAGCAATAACAATGATTAACGATCCGAACAAAAGCCGATCAAGGAAGCATGAAATATTTCTTCGCTCGAACGCAAAATTATAACCCATAATCAGCCATTAGCGTTCCGAAAACAAATAGTTACTCGCGTGTTCCGAAGCCATTCCGGGCGAAATGTCTCTCCAGAAGATTGAAGTTGTTTATTCAGTTGACAAGCAATAAATGCGAGGAATACAATAGTTGTCTTATTTTACGATAAATCGTTGTGTGCGGAAAAGCGCAAACGACTTTCGGCATGAATATGGGCGCCAGTGGCGGCTTGGAACGGATTTTATCCAAAACTTCAAATTTACATCTACACTATGTGAACTTATTACATAAAATATTAGCAAGCAAATAAATAGGACAGAATGCGCCCAAGAGCCACTCAATATCAAAATCAAGATACGTTTTCCTCTACCACACTTAGGTTAAACTAGGAGATCTTTTGAACAAGAGAAGAGACCGAGCTTGCTAATTAAAAATGGTGGGTTTTCTGCTAAAGTCAATTTCATGTGTACCCAAAATGTGATTTTATCTATCAACTGTAATGAACTATAGCAGGGTGTGGTCCCTTTTGCCGTTAACTAGACTCGCGTGATTTCTTCCTCAGGTTTTCGTTGTAGTTTGGCAAAACGATTCATCATGTTCGTTCCAGCGGCTTCTTTTGGCTTTGGAGGTGTTGTGAAGTTGATTTGGACTCTTCTGGCTTCTGGAACGAGGTGCAGTCGCTTCTAATAAATCCTTGTGATCTCTGAAGCGCTGTGGAGAGTGAATTTGAACTTCTATGGTTTCTAGCACGCTTTGAAGTCGCTTCAAAATGATTCTTTGGAAAAGATTGGGCTCTCTTGGTTTAAAGGGCGCTGTGGACTCACTTTGAAATAAATTTCTCAACTACTAGAGCGCTGTAGGAATTATTTTCCTGACATCTGGAGCCCTTAGTTTGGATTTGGACTCTCATGTTTTGTGAGGCGCTTTGTAGTCGCTTTGGATTTTTTCTCGTGGTTTCTAGAACGCTTTGGAGTGGATTTCGATTCCCCTGGGTTATATGGCGCTGTAGTTACAGAATGATACTCCTGTCTCCTGGAGCATTGTAAAGTCGCTTTGAATTGATTTTAGGTGGATTGAATTTGGACTCTCTTGACTCATATCGTGCAGTATTTTCCTAGCTTCTGCAGTACTGTGAGTTGAATTTGAACTCTCATGGCTTGTAGGACGCTTTAAAGTCACTTAGGATTAACTTTCCTGGTTTCTGGAGCGCTTTGGAGTGGATTTGGAGTCGCCTGGCTCATAAGACGCTGTAGAATCACTTCGAAATTACTCTCCTGTCCTCTAGAGCGTTGTAGAGTCGCTTTGTATTGATGCTTTTAGCAACTGGAGCGTTGTGCATCGAATTTTAACTCTCAGGGCTTGTTGGGCGCTTTAGAGTCACTTTGGATTATTTCTCTTGGCGTCTAAAGTGATATAGAGTGAATTTGGATTCCCATGGCTTTTAAGACGTTTCAAAATCGCCTTGAATTCATTATTTGGAGAAGGTTAGGCATGAAGGGAGCTGTAGAGTCACTTTGCAATAAGTATCCCAACTTCTGGAGCAAGGTAGGAATGATTTTCTTGACTTTTAGAGCACTGCGTTTGGATTTGAACAGGGCAGATCAATAAAATGGCCATGCAAAGCTACTAGAAGTCCTCAAGCAAGATATACATATACAAGAGAAGTCACAGGCACAGGAAGGTAGGGATCATTGTCACACATGACATCAAGAATGCCTTCAACTCTGCCTTATGGAAGGAGAATATACGAAATTCAAAGGAAGGGTGCAGCCCCATGCTTGATTGAAATAAGTCAGAGCTACCTGACGACCAGGGAAATTTCTATAGAGGCAGAGGGGGAAAGAGAAAACTTCCACATGACGTGTGGAATACCACAGGGCTCCATTCTCGGCCCTACGCTGTTGAACATCTTTTTCGACGGGGTACGCCGATGATATCGCAGTGACCGTCCTAGGCAAAGACGTAGAGGAGATGAATTACAAAATCACAATGGCGCAGATCCAGACTTGGTTTTCCAGCAAACATTTGCTCCTACAAAAAGAGAAAACGAAGGTAATCATTATCTCCTCTAAGCGACAGGTTCCTCAGACCACCTTACAAATCCTAGGTATGGAGATTTCCCCCAGAACAGAGATAAAATACCTAGGGGTATGGCTAGATTCCAAAATAAAGTTTCGAACCCACGTCCAAAAAACCACGACGCGCGCTAGCAACGCGATAATGACACTTGGTAGACTGTTGCCTAAGATCGGTGGCCCGAAAGCCAGCAAGAGGAGATTGCTGTGTTCAGTGGGGAGATCAATCTTACTATACGCTGCTCCTCAATGCTGATTGACAACAATCGTGTCATATTCAAGAGACTTCAAAGACAGGCTGCAATTCGAATCACTTGCAGCTATCTTACTGTTTCTACAAACGCTTTGCTGGTAATCGCGGAGGTACCACCTATAGACCTTCTGGTGGAGGAAGCAGAAGTGGTGTCAAAAATGGCAGAACATGTGGGAAACTAGCAAAAAGGGAGAATGGACCGCCAAGTTGATCGCAGACATAGAGGCATGTATAGACAGAGAGGTAAAACACCCGACAATGAGTGTTCTTACTGCGGAGAGCGCGGAACCGCGGAACACACCTTCTACTCGTGCAAGCGATGAAAGGAGCAAAGGGAAAACTGCTACACGTCCGTCGGAACAACTCTCACACCGGAAAACACTCTAGGTGAAATGCTAAATAGCCCAGCGAAATGGGATCAAATTTGTACTATGGTGAAAACTATCTTGAAAACGAAGAAGAAAACAGTTTGCAGGAGGCTCTAGAAGTAATGTAGAGTAAATTTGGACTGAGAAGATTAGGTACAAAGGGCGCTGTAGAGTCAGTTCGAAATAAGTCTCTCAACTTCTGGAGTAAGGGCAGGAATGATTTTCCTGGCTTTTGGAACACTGAGTTTGGATTTGGACTCTCCTGGCTTTTGGAGCGCTGTAGAGTCAGTTTAGATTGATGCTCTAGGCTTCTGGAGCCTTGTGGATTGAATGTTGATTCTCACGGATTGACGGGCGTATGTAGCCAATTTGGATTATTTCTCCTGGCCTCTAAACTGATGTAGAGTAAATTTGGACTTTTGAGACGCTTTGAAGACACCTTGGATTGATTATTTGGAGAAGATTAGGCTCAAAGGGCGCTGTAAAGTCACTTTGAAATAGGTCTCCCAATTTCTGAAGCAAGGTAGGACTGATTTTCCTGGTTTATGGAACACTGAGTTTGGATTTGGACTCTCCCGACTTGTAGGAGACAATGGAGAAGCTGAGGATAATTTCTTCTTGTTTCTGAGCACTGTAGAGTGAATTTAGACTCTCCTGTCCTCTGGAGCGTTAAAGAGGCACTTTGGATTGATGCTCTAGACTTCTGGAGCGTTGCGCACTGAATTTTGACTGTCATGGCTTGTAGGGCGCTTTGTAGTCACCATCGATTATTCTTCTGGCCTCTAAAGCGATGTATAGTGAATTTAGGCTCTTTGAAACGCTTTGAAACCGCCTTGGATTGATTATTAAGAGAAGATTAGGCTCAAAGGGCGCTGTAGAGTCACCTTGGAATAAGTCTCCCAACTTCTGGAGCAAGGTTGATCATTTCTTTTCTGGCTTCTGAAGCGCTATAGAGTAAGTCTGGACTCTCCTGGCTTATATGGCGCTGTAGAGTCAAATTAGAATGATTCTCCTGTCTTCTGGAGCGTTGAAGAGTCGCTTTTAATTGATTTTCTCAGCTTTTGGAGCACTGTGGATTGAATTTGAATTCCCGTGGCTTGTAGGAAGCTTCGAAACCGGTTATGATTAATTTTCCAGGCTTCTGGAGCGCTTTGGAGTAGATTTGGACCCTTCTGGCTCATATGGTACTGTAGAGTCACATTAGAATGATTCTCCTGACTTCAGGAGCAAT